CCACGATCTACCTAAACTAGGTAGGTTAGGTAAGGTTACGTTTACTTAGTCGTAGTAAAACGTAAAAAAGTAAAAAGTAAAAATAAACTAAACAATAATAATATATATATATATATATATATATATATATATATATATATATGTGTGCTGAATTCACAGAAATCTGAATATATAGAAAAATAAAAATGCCCAACTTCAGGAAAGTTAAAAAATAATACTTCAATTTCTTCAATAGTTATAGAGCAACACTAGGCATTTGAAGAAAACATTCACTTCTGTATAGCAGTTACCATTTGTCAAACATTTACTTTTGTAAAAACAAACAACTGTATTGCATTAGACAACTTATATTAACATTCAATTTTGTGAATTCACGAACAATCAAATATAATTTCTTAGAGTTTTACATTACAATTTCTAATCATTCAAAACTTTGATAAAACACTTTTTTCAAAAGTTAGATATATAGTTAAGTTCACAAAAATAGAAGAACTAAAATAAGGCTTTGAACAGTTAAAGTGTGAGCCTAACATAACTCACTTAACATGTGATTACTTTTACAAATATCATATAAACTGCTAACATGAAACATTCCTACATTTAGATATGAAACCCATTTTAAATACTTTTTTGATGAAATATAATGGACAATAAATACTTTTTTTTATGAAACTGGTAAATTGGAAGTTCACAAACCTTGTAGCTGATGTACAATAATTTTATTACTAAGGTGACATAATGGAGCACATAATGGACAGTAAATATGTGGTTAATTGTTTTTTCAGACTGGAAACTGTTATGTTAAAATTTCTTTACTGTAACTTTTATTGCTAAAATTAATACCACAAACTGCATGTACTAGATATTTAACTGTAGTTCTATTCTCTATTTACCAAATTTTTGTTTTTATCTTTGATAATACTAACTACAAGTTTTCAACAGTTTGTATATTTAAGTTAAAAAATTTCTATAATTTCCTTGTCGAAATGTTTTATAACAAGCACAAACAGATATTCTTTACATATCAAAATAATTATTTTGGAATTCTTTTCTTTGGAAATTAACTAACTTTTATTTTTCTTTGTATTTCTTATCTAAATAAACTTATTAAAAACACCTGTCTCCCAGTATCTGTTTAAAGTGCACCGTAAAAATTGCATGAGATCTACTGGAATTGGCATTCATAGCTGTTGCTCCTGTGGTCCGAGCTTCACAACCTTGCTTTAAACAGCGAAGGGCATCTTCAGTACTGTAGACTTCTATTTCTTCCAATCCAAGAGTCTTTAAAATACAAAGCAACACAAACAAATAATACACAAATGTCTATATAATTCAACATCTACATTTAACTTACATAATAGTAAGATTATATATATATGTGGTTTTTGTGTAATGAAATAAAAAAATACTATGATTTTGTATAAAAAATAAATCAAATACATAAATTCTCAAGAATGCAACCAACC